TTGGAGTTTTCACGGTGCTAATTATTCCATTTCAATGAAACTTAGTACAAAGATGCTCTAGGACAATGTACAAACCTAATTAGTTTGGGGTAAAAATCTGTTCATATTAATTCCCTAATAAGCATAATAATTCATAATTTTTTGGTTCTAATCACATTTCAATTAAACTTGGAGACATAGATTTTCTGTTACATTGCACAGACCTCATTAGTTTTACACTCAAATCTGGTCATATTAATTTTCTGATTTGCATAATTAGTTTTCAGCTAAGTAATTTCGAATTATATTTAATGTGTCTCCAATACTCTCAGCACATGGGAGTTCTTTCTAAGCTTTCTTTGATTTAGTTTATTTTTAAGAAAGCCAATTGAGTTACCAAATGAGTAATGAATGTTGGTACAAGGAGGATATACTACTAGTAGAACAAATCGATATATCGGCAAACAAAAGCCTTTTTTTTGCTATTCTTATATACTATGTGACCTGGCATATTATCCTGTATTTATTCATTTGGTGTTGCAAAGGTCATTTTGGTTCGAATTCACAAGGATTGAAAAAATATCAAAAGAACAAAATTAGAAAATGACTCAGAGATCCCAGTATAAAACGACAACCATGTGATCTCAGTGTTCAGTACTCAAAACTTACTTATTTCTAGGTTAGAAGGGTCATCTACAAAATCTTCGGCAATCTTTTGAAATAATTCCTCTGTAATAGAAACAGATCAAGTATTAGTATCCAGTGTATATCAACTACCGGTACACATAGCCAGCATATGAATATAATATTAAAGTATCATATCGAAGAATTCAAAATAATAATTAAATTTGATGAAGTAGAGGGGATGCATGGTGGATGAGACCACTGAGACGTCAATGCATGTGATGACAGAAAACAGTCAAACCTTTAGGCAGAAGAATGTTAAGGGTCTCATATATATAGACCTGTCCACTTCCAAATGACAACTTTCTGACACGGGTTTGGGTAAATGACCTTTTATGAAAAGTCCAAAATGACTGAAAGATAATCGCATGTTTGTGTTTTACTCTCGTCTACAGACTAGTTTAGGTTTGATTGATTACTATAAAAGACACAGACTTATTTTTTTGAAAGCAGCAGTTATTATGACAGCATGATTTGGCTGCATATACTGCTATCATTCAGAAATCTAAATATGCATGGCCCAAGCTTAGCAATCACTCACACAAACAAACTTACTTATGTGATATCCTGTTTTACTGCTGGTTTCCATAACTTGAGCATGGATTTCTGCGGAAATAATATATTTCAAATTTGTAAACATTGATATGGGTTAATGTATATATACCAACAGCACAAGGAAATAACACTGAATACACGGTAAGGTAAATAAAGATAAGCATGTAACATTGATATACCAGTTGGCAAGACTTGTCTTGACTCAATTATAATACCACAATAATATCAACAAAAGTTTACAATAGGATTATATATTTATATTTAGTTAGTAACAACATTGATCTACTGTCCATTCTCTGCCAATACAGTGTTCTCCCCAGTATGTTAACAGTGCTTTGATTTGCCGCCACACCGGTCTGACACCGCCACGGTGGTTAGCAAGACCGCAATAGTGCTATTTTCATTGGGGATCTCGTCACGCTGGTCGGCCCGACCGGCACTCAAAATTAGCTATCACCATGGAAACGGTCAACTAATGCGTCACAACTATCAAAAATAATTGCTCCCGATAAAACTAATTCAAATTTTACGTTTTTTTCATATAAAAAAAAAAAGTAACATTTTTTGCATGGCATCATGACTGAGTAAGAGGAATTATTGGTATAACTGGTGTATAACATCGCGAAGTAAGTTATGTCACGTCGTAACTTAGATGATTGCTTGGAAGTGTTAATTGTTCGTTCATTACTGTAAATGTAAACGTTGTAGAAGCTGATGGTCGGAATAATAACCAGCAATCCGCCGAATAATTATGTGGTCGAGAATTTTGTAGTAAATAAGATCATGAAAGTCGTGAACATAATCCTGATGAGTTTCATTTAACCTTTTACAATTTATTTGTTTCATTTTAGTCTGCAGCATTTGCATTTCGAGAATGTTTCATTTTTAAATTCAAACTCTTCTAAAATTATGAAACGTAATATTTCGACTCCAATAAAAAAAATATTTGCACTGAGACCGAGCTCATTAATATTACAAAAGTGCCCAAAATAAAAGTGTTTATAACACTGTGTGAAGCAAATAAATATCTGCCACTTTGTTTTTGAAAATATATGTTGTTTATTGTGTGGGTGTAAATATGCTTTGGTCAATTTCTATTATTATGCAAATGCTATGCAAATTAATCCGCCACAGTGGTTTAAAATCCTGGGGGGAACACTGCACTAGGATGTTTGAAATTACATCATATATAAAACAATAATAACATAAAGGTAAAAAAAGAAGAAAGAAAAGTAGACATGATTAAGTTTATCACACCTACTACACACTCAGCATAGCAGATCTGTATGAAATTTGACAAAAAGTTTCCTGCCCTTGAGCACGATATTGGGCTAATCATCTTCTGTCTTTTGTCAGTAGTCTTTCTTTTCATTCCAGCCCCAAACAATTATTATTTTCAAGAACATTTTATTTATGTCTTACCGTCAGCAAAATCTGTTGTCATGTGGTAATCTACTTTTCTATTCTTCTTATCATTCTCAACAAGATCATACTTTGTACCAGACAGGTAAATTTTACAGTGCTAAGGAAAAAAAAATTGAAAAATATTTGACAATGTATCATCCCAATTGAACAGTGAGCAGTTAAACTCTTACTATCAAGTTGCCCTCCAATGAGTCCAATTTTAAAAGGATCCCAAGTCCTAATGGAATCCGAAAAATCAAGTTGAGACAGCTTCTTGACTGCTGGCAAAAGAAACACATGAAATTGTATATGACTATGCAGATGTCTTGAGGCACAAATGAAAAAGTTTTTGACCTTGATTTCTGTTATTTTACGCTTCTTTTCTTTCATTTTACTAAGAACTATACTATAATAAGATGTTTTTCAAAGTCACTATATATCAATGTATGAATTTCTGTTGCATCAATGATGAGTCTGTGAATTAACACTACTGGTTGCATTATCAACATGCACCAGTGGTGCATCATATAAGCTTAGAGGCCTTGCTGAGAGCTACATTTTGGGAGCATAATCTGATTTGAAAACACACCTCTTCATTGGTCTTCAGTTCATTCACCCAAAACCTTGTCCTTTCAAAACTAGTGTAATCTGTTAAATCTGCCAATATACAAGAATTGTTCGGTTAGAACACAGTCCCCCACTATCATGATAGAGGGACTGTGGTTAGAATGCTATAAGTGTCGTCAAATAAAAGCATGCATGACCTATCGAGTTAGTCATTAAGAATAAATAAGTGGAACAAGCATACATGTATAAATGGGAATATCTCAATGCATCTATCGATCCAGGGGAGTAAGTGTGGACGGGATAGAGAACTTTTACCTTTATTTT